GAGTCAAGAGGAGGCTAGGAAAGAAGATTAGCTCTGGGATAAGGTCTGAGTGTGTGGCTGTTTCCAAGTAGCTCGTATTTCAGTTGATTATGGAGGGTCCACAAGGTCTTGGGTAATTAATGGGAGTAAGAGTCTGTTGGTCTGGCAAAAAAGCAGCTACTATTGGACCAAGAGAAAAGAAGAAAGTAGAGGGAATGAAGAAAGCCACACCCCCACACATCCAGGCATGAGGCTGAATTTCCCTGTGTCCCACCGTTCTTGGCAGCCTGCCTCCTGCAGAGGAAGGCCTATGTCACGGTTGGCGTTGGTACTCCAGAAAGCCCATGAAGTCTAGCCATACATGTGTCTTTTCACTTTCCAGCACACAACATTGTGCAAATGTACAGTGGCCTGCAGGCTTAACGTGGCTGGTAGACCAGGTAAATTGGGGAAGGGAAAATTTACCTCACTCATACTGCCACCTGGATTATCTGGTCACTGAAATCCTCTCTTAGAGGACATGTAGACATCTTGCTTTGATTATCAGTGCTAAGTGTGAGGAAATCATCAGAGGAAAGGTAACACAACTACCTTCTGAAATGGATTAGAGAAAAGAAAGGAAAGGAAACATCTTATTTTCCTCAAATCAGAACCAACCCTTTCTTTGGTTGACCCCAATTCGAGAGACAGGCAGAAAGTTTGACTTGTACAAAGAGAAAGCTTAGGTTAGTGCAGGCTGAGAGAATAGTTTTCTCTCTTCATTTTAGGAGCAGTTATTTACAAGACTGTGCAAACTGGCTCTTCTCCTTCCCAGATGTTGAATGGCTTCTAAGAGTGAAATGGTGATTTCTTTAAAAGGTAAACTCTCCAGAGTCACCCCATGCTTGCTTAGACACTCAGTCTCATGCCTCCCACCCTCAGGCCAGGCTCACACTCAAGCAGAGAAAGCCACAGACAAGGAGGACGGTCTCATGTTGTACCATTGGCCGCTCATTTACAATGGTATGTGCATTCCATGAATGGACTTCTTACTCTCACCTCCCTAAAGGGAGCAATTTAGCAATTTGCACCCAGTAGCCCTAAATAATCAGAAACGTGACTTGCATATATCACAGAGGTACCAACACTTAGATCCTGGTAAACCCAAGTGGTGTTGGCTTGCCATCTCTGAGTCCCACAGCTATGTAACCCTCAGTTAATACTTTATTTCATATTGTTTGTTCAGAGTTTCAAAAAAGATTTAAAAAACCCCCCTTTTTTTTTTTTTTGGTTTTTAATTCTTAAAAATTAAACATAACCCCCAGTGTCAGAAGCCCAACCATTTCAGCAAGTTCCTAACTGGCTTAAGCATCACAGCAGGCAATAGTAAAATATTAAGTGCCTTAGAAAAGTCAAAAGAAATGCAGAAAGCAGTGCATGCATTTTGTTGACACAAAATTAAGACTGGGTTTGGAGAGGGATTACTTCATTTAAGTCACATTGTTATTGTTAAAGGATAGTGAATTATAATGCAATATCTAGGCCAAGTATATAACCACCTACAGACTAGCATCACTTTATCTAGAAACGACGTAGTGTTACTAAATGAACATATTTATAAAACACTGTACACTGCTTCCACGTTGGGTCTGCAGATGTAAACAAACAGCTAATTCAACTGGAGTTTAAAGGATTATTTTAAGTTCTTTTGTCATATAGTCGTTTGCATAACATGGCAGTTTCCATCTTTCAAAAAATTACAACTTGCTGACCACAGCTCGCAGGACTCATTGGGAGATATACATCAGCTTGTACAGATATTTTACAGTGGCCCACAGGAATGTGAAAAGCATAAAGCAGATCAGGAACACAAATGCCCATTTCACAAGGATGCTAAATAACATGGAATTGGGAACATAATTAATCCTTGCAACATGTGCTTCTTTATTGAATGTTACAGATTTGTAAATGATTATAAAGCTGTCCTGTAACGTTCATTAATACAACCACATGCTACAACTATGCTGGGTTAAACACGGGTTACATATAGGTTTACATGTGTTTTATAATACAGCATTGCCCAACATATGGAATGGTATAGCCTATAGATAAAGCATGATGGATGACTGGATAATATTTATTATCTTTAAAGAAATTAAACATCCCAAACATTTAGGAAGATTAGACTGCACAGCCTCAGAAAGTTAAAACAAAAACAAAAGAAAACAAAAAAAAGTACTATCCAGTTATCTACCAAAATATTACCTATAGAAACCATATTTGAGAATCCACTTGAAACATTCAGAAGAAACACATTTTGTGTTTTTACGAGTACATTTTTCCCATCTGGTTATTCCTATATATATATTTTAAAAGGGGAACTTTCAAAGTGCTAAATAATATACTAGACCTGGAAGCTTAGAAAAAAATCCAGTTCTATAAAGTGCTGCATTCTGACTGCTGATACACCTTTTGGCTGGCAGAGATACACCAACTAGCCATGGCAATTATACACAAGCTTTCCCGCCCCTCATTCAAACCTAGCAAGGAGGGAATCTAACTATAAATATAAAGTGTGTTAGTTAATCAGGAGAGCTCCATGGTCATTTTCATAAAACATTCTTAATTTGTTTTCAAAAGGAACAAGCAATTTAGAACAAATCATTACATATGGTAGTATATAAAAATGGCACCTTGGAAGCAGATGATTAAACCAAAGTTATTAGTTCCTGGAGCTCTCTATGACTTTATTTATGGTCCTCAATCACTTGCAGATCATGAGCTGCTTAATTCACAGAGACAGGTAATTAACATCCCTTCAGTCAGGGATGTGGTGGGATCAATGGGGCTAGGCATAAGCTGACTGAACAAGGCCACAGAATCAATGCGACATCAGTGCGCAGAGAGCCCGGAAATGGACAGAAATGGGTTGAAAAATAACACACAGGTATGTACACGGGAAAGAAATGGCTCATGGAAGTTATACATTTTGTGTCTAAAGTCATTCAAATTTAGCTTATATATTTCACACACATCACAAAAGATGTCAGAACTTAATTGTCATGCACAACAAAAGAACCAGGTAATCACAAGATCAGGACTGTTAAGTATTTAGTTTCCCAGGTCCTGTTCCTTTCCCTCTGAAATCACGACGAATAGAAACATTCTTGCTTGTAATTTCTTTTCTCACTTCCAATGTGGTCCAGAATGAGGCCCTGGAGGTGCATGATGTCAAAGAATAATGGTTTCACCTCCTTCTTGGATTCCTCTCTAGACTCTCTCAGAGAGCCTCCGGCTTTGTGAGTGTGCTTGCTACTTGAAATCATCAAAATGTTAGGATGTAAGTACATCAGACTAGCAACATCTAGAATGAAAATGACGGAATCTTGGTTCTAACCCTGGTGCTGAGCCTAGGCCTTCCTGAGAATCACAGAGAAATGGTCTCACAATGTAAAGTGCCTCTTACAACCATAGTGATTATACACAAACATGATTCCTTCTCCTCTTCATCAATCAATATGGAACCATGGGCTCATGAACCCTTTAAGGGTAACCCATATTTCACATATATGTACATTGTTTTTCCCGTGGGGAAAGGGCCCAGAGTTTTCATCAGATCCTCACAAGGGTTCACGATCAAGGAAGTTTAAGAACAAATGGTTTATTCTCAGAGTGAATGCATGTTTGCTGAGAAGGTAATAGCCAATATGGGGTCTAATACAGTAGGAAATGTTTCTAGAGCAATTATAAATGAGGAATTTGTTATCAATTCGCCTAAAGGAGTGAAAAAGGAATTCTTTAATTCTTTCCACAAGGGACCTCATCATTCTTTCTATACCTCAAAACTTGTTCAGTAGGGTTTATTTTGTTTGCTTTTGTTTTTGTATTTAAAGGCAAGAGGTTTTACCCATATATTTACTTGACTTCACAAAAGGAAATAAAACTTGATGTTTTCAATTTTAAATAAATAAAAGAACCAGGTGGTATCTTAGGTCAGGAACATTAAGTAATTTTCCTTAAAGGCTTTATTTTATTTTAATCTTCAGTGATCCAAATAAGAATCCAGTTTGGAGTCAAGATTTCTTTATCCTGCTTCAAAATCTAGATTCTGATCTAGAAACCTACACCTATATTCTAGAGTCTACAATACCAACTGGCTTAGAATTGCATGTCTATTCCGATTTGTACTTGGTTTAAAAGCCTTATGCAGTATTTGCAGGAAAATCCAGAATAAATGAGATGTCCTGATAGTGAGTGATTTCAGACAAAAGTGGGCAGAGGGCAAGTAGGGCGAGTTGTTTTGACAACTCTAATTTGGTATGAGGAAAAGCTAAGCTCATTGGAATTAAAAAAAAATTATAATTACAACATTTGGTCTCATAGTTTAACGAACTCTTTCAATGGAACTTCTTGGATATTACAAAATCTCAGTTATACTTCAAGGTGATAGAAAAGTCCAGGCCTCTTAAGAAAGCTCTGTATGTCTGTTTATATATTATATATAAACATGTGCCTCTGTGTAAATGTGTCTATGTGTATATAGGCAGTATATAGTATAGAACTCTTTATATTGTTTATTTGCTTTCTATTTTGTTTTACTGTATCTTTTTTTTTAATAGCTCTATCTATAAGAAAAATATTCAGGGTATGCCTGCAACTGATGGCTTTGGGTGGGGGATACCAAACTTCCAGTCAATTCTAAGGTTATTTATAGCTTTGAAACTTCCTTAAAAAGTACTTTGGAACATTTCCATAGAAAAGATACCAGCCCTTGAAAAACTCCAATTAAATATATGCTGAGCTCAGATTAGATGGCAAAACTCTAGGTATGAAAATATCCACATATAACTGTATATTCGTATACAAAATGGTCATGTGATGAGTCGTGCGAAAAATTGGTAGTTACATCTTGGAGGTGTTCAGAGGACATGGGGGACTCATGCAAATGAGGAAGGTCACACAGCAGCATAACATATGACATGAATGGTGAGACTTTAACACTATCCCACATGGCAATTTTAGGTTAATTCTGTTCACTGTTCTTAAGCTCAACATTACATATACAGGGAGTGAATCCATTGATGATAGGTGAGATATAAAATAAATTAAAAAATATAAAATTATTTAATTACATTCATCCTGAGCTTGCTCAACTCTTGCTCTGTATTATAATAAATCGCTCGACTTTTGTTTTCAACATCAACTCTTCTTTCATTCCGATTGCAATACAAAAAAAGGCATTTCTGTTCCCTTATTATTTTCTTCAAAAAAGATAAACAGTTGTGGCACCAGAAGTGAATAGATAAGAGACAGGTGAACTATGACTGTTACCTTGTTTTTTCTTTATAATGATCAATTACAGAAGTGTTGGCATGAGAAGGATGTGGGACGTTAGGTAGAATTGCTTGCTGCCGCCTTATACTGAATAAAAAGGATGCTCTTCATCAGTCACCAGTGATGGAGCCAATGTGAAAAGAAAACAGAATGGAAGTTTAGAATATCTCATTTTGTATGCTGGCCATTTTATTTCATTTTGCAATTCAGCCCTGCATCCTAAGACTCTGGATAACGGTCAGAAATCAAGACGCCTCCTGGCATGGAGAGTCCTTGAAGCCCCTTGGTTCCCCAGCTCTCATGCCTTCCTGCATGGACTGGTGACACTCATTCAGCTCTAACCCTTCTTCTCCCCTTCTTTCCCCCTCCCTACCCAGCAAGTGTGAACATGCCTTAAATCCCCTGTTTTTGTCACTGGGTCAGATCAAATGCTTTCTTGATCTGTAGCCCAGAAGTCACCTTTGAGTTAATACCTCCCAAAGCATTGCTTGTTTTGCTCAGCTAGGAATAAAGTAGATATGATTAAAGGAAAGGGGAGAAAAGGTGGGGTGGGGGGAGGGTTTCAGGGCTGGATTCTTGAGCCTCCTGCAACACATATGTAGAAGGTTTAGTTGTTCTTGCTTTCAAAGCTTTGGAAAGCTGACATTCTGGACAGTCTCCTCATGGACAGGCTGTCCCCACGGCCCTCTGGCTTGGAGGGCTTACTCCTCTGGAAGGGATTCCGCAGGCTTGCCGTGTTACGCTGCTGCCTGTCGAGTTTGTCACTGATGGAGAAGCTCTTCCTGGTGTGTGCAGATGCTGCGCTGGGCTCCTCTGCGGAGTAGCTGTTGGCACGCTCTATTTTGGGAACTGTGATGTTGTTGGACAGGGTTCTGTCTGAGTTATCGCCCTCCTGGGAGGATATTGTGATGGTGGCTCTCCGGCCTCTGGCCTCATTCTCCTCACTGTCAGAGCTGGGGTGACTCAGCTCTGCTTCTCGCTCAGGATGGCAGCAAGATAAGTCCTCAGCTTTATTTCCAAGACCTCCAGAGAAACTGGCTCTATCTGCAATTGCTTGAGGGGCATTCACACACCTTGTGTCAATACAGTCTGTAATACTTGTGTATTCTGCGGTTTTCATAGGCACCCCAAAGCTGGCATAATAGCTCCTGGAAGGAGAAAACATAAAGCTATGCGATTTCACAATGGGGGCTTCTTCTAGAAGAAAGGGCGTGGTGGCTAGGTAGCGGCTGCTTTTGGAACGCTCAATGGTGTGGTATGTTGGAGGGTCTGAGTCCCAAGGGTTTTGGCCTTCTGGGAGGTGGGTATAGTCTGAAGAAAAAGATCTAGTGTCCATAGTGGTGACGTCCTCAAAATCAATGCTCCTGCTTGGAGGTCTGTCAGTGGGTGCAAGAGTTGCGTAAGCACTACTTGAAGGGGCTGAGGAAGGTACTGCAGCTGAAAAGCTTGGTTCGCCTAGCCCAAGGATGTTCATGGAGTTGTCCAGAGGGTCTATATCACAGTGGAGCTCATCCATGGCAGAGACATAGATGTCTATACATGACGATGGTCTTCTGGAATCCGGAACAATGGCCAAGGTGTTTGCAGGGGCTGCAGGAGTTTTGGGTTCTTTTGCTACAGAGTGGGAACTAGTAGCCCGGTGTAGGCTCAGGGACCTTTCTTTAAAAATACTTTCCAACTTTTCTATCCCACCTTTGTCCTTCACATTGACAGAATAGAAAGAATGGCTTCGCATACGGGGCATTAAGGTTGGAGAAGTTGGGGACATGGTCTCCTCACCTGCAGGGTCTATACTTTCTTGGAGCTTGAAGGTGTTCCCCTCTTGGCTGTTGAAGCTGCTCTGGCGGACGATGTAGGCTGCATCTGTGCAGTCTGACGAGGTCCTCGAGCGGATTTTGTTGGACTCGGCCCGCTCCAGACCTGTCAGGCGCTCCAGGGCCGTGGCCATGCGCCCAATGAGGTCCTCAAGCTGTGCCAGCCGGATGTCCACGGTCTGGAGCGAAGCCTTCATGGAGTGCTCTCTCTCATTGACTTCCTCCAGCCTCATGGACATGTTCTCCACCCTGCGTGAGGAAGAGAGAAGGAGAGTCACTCAGTCTCACTGTGTGAGGAAGAGGAAGGAGAGCTCCTGTGCTCGGGTTTAGAGAGCAAGAATCAGGTTAGGGGGATCAAAGCCATGCTTGGGCTCCGTGCCTTCAATGCTGTCCTAGAGGAAAAATGAGGGGTCACAGGTAGTGCAAAGGGCTAGTGAGGAGGGAATGGCACATTGATACTGTCACTGAGAATCGCAGAATCCAAATCCTTCTGAGCTTGAAGAGGCTTTAGGAATGATCGAATCCAGTGGTTTTTAGCTGCCAATCCCCTTTTCCCTCAATGAAATGTAATGTCCTATCCTAATTACTGAACACCAAAATGGAGCAGTTCTTACTGCAGTGGAGGGGATCCAAGTCCCAGCCGTGTCCCACTCCTATAAGCCTGCCTATGGCTCTGGGTAGGATTTAATAATATGAGCTAATACTCAGGTGTTAGTTTTTCAGGGTCAACCCACAAAAGGAGACTGTTTCATCTTGAAGATTTTACTTATTAATTTTTGAGTAGAATCCTAGAATGTAGCTTTTTTATTGCAGCATATATGTAAGTTTTGTATTCCATGGATGGAAATTATTTTAAATTTGCATTTATACAATGATCTTTATTGTTGCTAGTCATGATAACTTTTTGAGCATTTAGTGTCTCCAAAGAAATTAAGATGGCCCTGTAACTGAGGCATCCAAGGTTGATCTAATCTAACCCAAACCTTTCATTAATAAAGGAAAAGCCAAAATCAAAAGAAATTTAACCAAGATCACATAAAGTAATTTGTGGTAAACTCTGGAGTACCTGATAATAAGTAAACCTTCCTACTTCTCTCTGTGTCTCACCATCTCTGGATAGTTGATCACAGATGCCTTATATTACAGTTACTTCTAGATGTCCCAAGCCTTCGCACTGGATGTACTCTGTCTCATGTTTCTGTTCCCATCCCAAGCTTCCAGCCCAATACCTGCTATGTGTCAATGAATGCTCACTGAGTCAATGACAGTTATGGATTTGATTTCAACTGTCACCCAGTCTGCCTGGTCATTTATTTACAAAGATGGAGGCTACATATTAAAAATAAAACTGTACGTTACATGTTAGCTGCTCAAATTAACTTGGGAAGGACAAACCAAAGCCAAGTCACTGATGGAGCTCAAACTTTCATTTTCCAGGGAGGAATAAAGATATTTTTCCCTAATCCTCCTTATATGCAAAGTAAGTCATTTGACTGCTGACCATTAAAATGCACATGCTGCACGTGGACCAAGGAAACAGAAAGAGAGAATATGCTCTCTGGTGAGTATGCAGTTTGGAGATAGCCTTGCTCAGCCCATGGTGCTGATGGTGGGAGGCTGTTAATGACAGGAGCACCTCTGTTAGGGAGAAATATATACATTTCAATGCCAGAAGGACATATGCAAGGTCTGACAATTAAGCTCATGAACTCAACCTAGAAAAAGTGCTACAAACATCCTTGCTAAATGTCACTACAATCACCTTTGAAGTACTCCTCTTGGGAAGCTATGCACCAATGTCAGTACCTGGTCCACCCTTCAAAGCAATTGTGGAGTTCTTTTTCTAAAATGACTATCAGAATTACTGTTGTATGGCACACAAAACACATGTAATAATAATAACAAATGTGACTCAGCAAGACACCACTTCATGTTGACATGAACACAGCTGTGAGACACTGATATACTAGGGTTATGAACCCTTACTGAATTGTTTGTACAGTGCTGCCAACATAAGTGCACGGTGGCAAGTTTGTGAACTTAATTGTCAGAACTTGCATGATGACAGCTCTGATGGCCATTCCAGAAAAAGTGCCAAAACTGCTTTGAAGGATGGATTAGACTCTGGCACTGGTGCATAGCTTCCAAGGGGGGGTACTATGAAGGTGACTGTAGTGATAGTCATCAATAAGGTATGTAGTACTTTTTCTAGTACGACTTTGCAAACTTAATTGTCATATTATGTACTGTAAGAGGCTGTGTTTCCCTCTCTGAGGAACCAATAGGCTTTTATAAAAAAACACACCAGGTTGAGGGATATGGTTCCACTGCCTTGAGGGCATATTTCTGCCTCCCTCAGCACGCTCCCACTCTGCTCTTATCCTTAGCTTCCCTTTGCTCAGCCTAAGCCCCCAGACTGTTCTTAAGAGCTCTGCTTCTAAATGTTTTTTATTTTGTACCCTCTGGCTATTCCAAACCCAGTGCAGTTCAGGGGCCAGGCCCACACTGCCACCATGGCCAACTGTATTTCCAAGAGACTTCAACATTGAGCTATTCTGTACATGGAAAACCCAATGCCATTCACTAGGCTAATTCAGAAGGAAAATATAACTTTTCCCTCTTTTACTTTGTTTTGTCATATAAGCATAGTCCAAGAAAAAAATTATTTACAATAACAAGGTTGTGTGTCTTATGGACTTATAATTTTGTTTTCACCATCTAGCTCTTTGGTCCCTAATCCCCAGGCTGCAGATCACTACCCACCTGTCCCTAGCCTTTTGGAAACTAAGGCCCACAGCAGGAGGCAAGTAGTGGAGTTAGGATAGGGAGGGGTGGGTGGCGAGTGGTGATTGAGCTTTCCATAACTTAAATCACCACCTGAATTCTGCTTCCTGCTATATCAGTGGTGGCATTCGATTCTCATAAGAGCATGAACCCTACTGTAAAGTATGCATGCAAGGGATCGAGTTTGTGCACTCCATATGAGAATCTAATGCCAACACCACCTGTCATGGAAAAATTGTCTTCCATGAAGCCAGTCCTCAGTGTCAAAAAGGTTGGGGACTGCTGCTCTAGCCTGAGGAATTTGATTTTGCAGGTACTGCAATTTCATTTCTGGAATGCAATAAATTTTGTTAAGTGGATAAAATACTCATTCATGAAAGTTGGAAGGAGGATGGACTATGCACTTCTATAACACAAGACTTTCTGTTTAACGTCCTTTAGGTACTGAGTCTCACTAGCTTTTTAGTTCTGGAAGAGTAGCAATAGGCAGGATAGCTTTATTCTTCCTTCTCCTTTTCTTTCTGGAGCCCAGTATATATGAGTTTGATATTTGACAGAGATAAAGTTGTTTTTTTGGCATAATTCCATGCGATCACTGGTCTGAGTGCTATGAAATATCTCCCTGCCATATCTAGTGCTGTAGGGCCTCTCTCCCCATATCCCACCCCAGTCAGCCCCCAGGGTCCCACACCATATTGAAACTTAGCTTGTGAGAGCAGAGCTGAAGCACCAAGAACAGGGAAGATTTGGGACCTAAAAAGGTACTGTGGAGTGTGCCTGTAGTCCCAGCTAATTGGAGAGCTGAAGTGGGAGGATCATTTGAGCCCAGAAGTTTATAACTGTAGTGTGCCATGATTGTGCTTATGAATAGCCACTGCACTCTAGTCTGGGTGACATCATGAGGCCCTGTGTCTTGGGGGGAGGTGAATAAGAAGAGTCAGGACCTGGTTGCCTGGTTGTAGGCAGTAATCAGGGCATAGAGACTAAGGAGATCAAGAAGGATGGGAAAAAGGCAGGGTAGAGAAGGAAGAGGCTGTCTGGGAAGACAGAAAGTGCCTGGAGGCAGCCCCATGAGGGAAGAAGCACAGCCCCAGGGAACAGAACTAGGGGAGGGGAGCCTGAAGAAACAGGGCCAAGGAAGTATTTTTTATTTTTTGAGACAGAGTCTCATATTGTTGCCCTTTGGTAGAGTGCTGTGGCATCATAGCTCACAGCAACCTCAAACTCTTAGGCTCAACTGAGGAAGTCTTTTTAACCAAATCTTAACTCTCCTAGGGCTCCAGGGTTGATTGGAAGGTAAGACTTGACTAAGACAATAATGGATTACTCCAGAATTGTTATATTTAACCATCTAACCATCTCATTATGTGATCATTTAGGTCATGGGCCTAACTGATGGGAATTTAATGTAGGAGTTATACCAGAATAAAAAGTCCTAGAGTCAAATTTACATGTGTTTCTCCTCTAACTAGAGTGCTTTCTTTACTCTTTAAAAGCACCTTCTTGGGAAGTTTGGTGTAAAATGGGCAGCCATCACATATAATAGGCCTAGGGCACAAATCAAGAGTTTTGGGTCAGGACAGTGGTCACTGGGAGTTGACTCTGATTGCATAACTCAGGAGATGACTATGGAGATGTGAATGATAAGTGTTTAAGGAACAAAAGGGATTCCCAAGGAGATAGATACTGAAGGAAGGACAAAGAGGTACTGTGGAAAGGGAGAGAGTGTACAGAAGGTACTCTTCATTTAACTTTCTCTCTTCCACATCTCTAGACTATGTATGGCTTGTTTCAGAAAACATTGGGAGGAGATGCAACAGGGTCATGATGGGGTCCTGGGAAGCTGTGTGGTAGCCCAAGAAAGGCGCCTCAATAGACTGCTGCAAACCCCCAGCTAAGGAGACAACTAGCCTCTTCAGCCTTCCAGCAAAAGGAGCGAGAGAGCATTCCAAAGAAGATTCTGGTGGTACAGACAATTGTGGCTTCACTATGCAATTTCTTAGGCCAGATGCAGGTGGCTCACACATATAATCCTGGCACTCTGAAGGGCTGAGGTGGGAGGATTGCTTGAGTTTAAGAGTTCCAGACCAGCCTGAGTAAGAGTTAGACCCTATCTCTACTAAAAATAGGAAAAAAAAATATAGATGTGGTGGCACACACTTGTAGTTCCAGCTACTCAGGAGGCTGTGAGTTTATATGAGGTTACTGTGAGCTAGACTGACACCATGGCAATCTAGCCTGGGAAATTGAGTAAACTCTGTCTCAGAAAAAAAAAAAAAGCAATTTCTTAAGAATTGTTATTTTAGAGAACTCCATCATCTTTTTCTTTCCTGATGCCTTAGAAATGTAGTTAAAGGAAATGTAGTCCAAAAAAATAAAAAAGCACACAAAGCATACAAAGATTGGCAGGCCTGTAATTTCATATATTCCCTGAGTCTTAGCAGTGGGGTGCATGTAGGATGGAG